CATGTCCTATTTAATATGAAATAGACAGGGCTTATTGAGAGGTAAATTGAATAGGAATCCTAATCTGAATAGATTTCTCTATTTAATATGTACTCCTCTTTTCTAATTTAATTGCGTGGTTTTTTTTCCAAAATCTTGAATAGTATAAGAGTCGAGGTGGAGTCTATTGCTATTTCTTTTCTATTTCTACTCTTTTCTTTCCTATATGCACTTACGAGTGGACCCAAGGAGTCCGTGATTGAGTCCGTAACTATTCTTTTTTCTATTCTATGCGGCTGTTCTCTTTTTATATTGTTTTCCACTCGGGTTAGTTTTTTTTTCTTTAATTTTTTTTGCAGCACATCTAATCTGATTTTTGTTCCGCTTTTTTTTACCCGCGCTGAATTTTATTTTTCGGTATCCCTTTTATCGGTCGGTCGCTTGGGTCTGATTTTATATTTCTTTTAGTTTTTTCCACCCAAATATTTCAATCAGCATTTGCCTGTGGGTCTGATTTTGTATTTCAAAGTTTTTTCCAACATGAATTTTTTTTCATTACATTCTAATATATACCTCATATTAAAGAATGAAGGGATTTTTCCATCCTATTTTTTTTCCTTCTCAAACTGTTCTCGAACCCCATGTATCGTACGTGACATATGCTTATGACCGACTCATATGAGTTAGACGTGCCTCCTATGTGATTTAGACTTATAAATCATTCTAATATGATTTTGAACAACCTATATTTTCATTGGAAGACGTATTGATTTCTGTTGTAAGGCATGGACACGTTTCCTAGTAAAATACTATAAAATAGAGTAGAATTACGTGGCGTAAACCAGACACTACGGGACGGCGCACGGTGCCATCACCGTTTCGCACGTGGTGCTCAACTCTTGAGCTCTTGGCTTTCCATTGCCATCGCCAGCAGGAGGCTGCTGCAGAAGACCAACCGCCAATCGTGTGACGCCACCACCACCGCCGCCGCCGCCCCCTTGACTCTTCCTCCACGGGAAAGCACATCACCTGATCAACCTCAACCCTCCCCTTCCGGCAATCCCGCTAGAGCAGACGCCACGCGAGTCGTTATTCTTCCACGGGTCCGGCCGGATCCAATCCGCGGCCGCCCAGCCGCCGCCACGGCTCCTCGATCGGGGTCTTCCTCCCCCTTCGCCTTTCGCCCCCCGCAAATCCCGCGCGATTGATGAGTATTTTTCTCCCCGTCCCTAGGAGCGACTCGGTGGATGCGAGGGACCTGCCCGCGCTCGACCCGCCTTCGCCCCTATCCCACCGCCTCGCCGCCCGGCGGGCAGGCTCCTGCTCTCACCTTCCGTCCCCGGAGCTAGCCGCAGGCCCATGGGCTAGCGAGTCGCCGTTCGCCCTCCTGCGATCGCGAGCGGAGGGGCGGCCTGCGGGATCCGCCCGTCACCTCCTCGCGCTTTCGGAATAATCCAAATAACTCCTTGGTCTCGATTTCGGAGTTGCTGGCCTGCGTGTAAATCGGTTCCTGCTGATGCGAGTGTTGTGCTTTCCAGTAACAAGAGTGTACAGTTGTTGTTGCGTCTTGGGGATGTGAATCCTGTCCTGGGTGGGGATCCAGCTCACGCTAGATTTTCCCCCCTTTTGCCTTTCACTTCTTTCACTCGGGAGAGGAAAGATTGGTTTCCTGGGTGACTAACATCCGATCGCCGTGCAGGATTCTACCTTATCTTCTAATTTCTATTTCCGTACTCTTAATGCAAGTAGTGGGGAGGCAAAGTAAAGATTGTATTGCCGGTTTTGGGGACATATTCTTGGGGATATTCCACCCTGTACAAAGATATCCCTTACCCTTAGTTTAGTTTGATGCTCAAATCAGTAGTGGTGGGGAGTGCACATATCACAAATCCTGATTATACTCAGGCCGTTCGGGAGATGGGTTCCTCACAAGAATCCACCTTCTCCTCGGCCTCAGCGGCTGCACAAGTGAATGCTTCCGCTCTGGACTTGCTCCCGGTCTATGCCAAGGAGCTTATCGCCGGCGGCGCTGCTGGTGCATTTGCAAAGACTGCAGTAGCACCACTGGAGAGGGTCAAGATCTTATTGCAGGTCCCAGGCTGCCCATTCTATCAATTTCAGTATTTGTGGTGACTGTGTTGATGTTTAGCTCACTTGCTGCACATTTTCTGTTTGCTTTGTAGACAAGAACTGAAGGTTTCCAGTCCCTTGGGATCCTCCAGTCCTTGAGGAAGCTGTGGCAATACGAGGGAATTCGAGGCTTCTACAAGTGAGTACCATGGCAGAAATGCCTCAAGCTTTTTTACTTCTGAATTAAGTATAGTGATCTGAATTCACTGTTATTATCCACGCAGAGGGAACGGTGCAAGCGTGCTTCGGATTGTTCCATATGCAGCATTACATTACATGACATATGAGCAGTATAGGTGCTGGATATTGAACAATTTTGCTCCATCAATAGGTACAGGGCCTGTCGTTGATCTTTTAGCTGGCTCTGCTGCTGGTGGTACTGCAGTTTTGTGTACATACCCATTAGACTTGGCTAGGACCAAGCTGGCATACCAGGTATTGTACTACCTTGTTCACTGATGCATTTTTTTTTCATTTTGTTCCTTTGATTTTAGTGAAGAGTCTCCATCAATAGATGTATGGCTGGAACAACTCTCTGAGCAAATATTAGTTGTTTATTTTTTTTTTCATTTTGTTCCTTTGATTGTAGTGAAGAGTCTCCATCAATAGATGTATTGCTGGAACAACTCTCTGAGCAAATATTAGTTGTTTACGCCATGTCGGCTTTTGATGTATTGTTATTACCAATGTTGGCTCAAGGCTGTAACACTAATTTCTTCACGGTTGCTCCAAGGTTTCAAATGTTGGCCAGCCTGGCAATGCTTTCGGAAATTCTGGTCAACAACAAACATATAATGGCATAAAAGATGTCTTCAAGACTGTCTACAAGGAAGGCGGCGCACGATCTTTATATCGTGGAGTAGGTATGTTCTTATCCTCAGTCTCATTTTATTCGCTTAGATTTGTAGTGTCATTTATGGCTCATCAGTGTGAGGCTAGCAATTTATTGCGTTTCTTTCCAGCATTGCCATGCCCGCTAATGTTCCACACTTGCACACCTTTGTTTCTAATGTTACATGATGCTAAGTATCAATTTAGGTTGATACCAAATATGCATATTCAGTTCTTTCTTGGTTTTCCTGAAAACATGATGGCATTACTGTTAGTTACTTTAAATCCTAAGTACTGGTTCCATAGGTGACCAGAAACACTATTGCCAGGGCTTAAACATATTAGTTTAACATGAGTTACCATATGAATATCCTAAAATTTTTAGTTTAAATTACATTACTTGAGATTGTCTGTATTGTTTATTTAGATTATATTATTACAACAAGAGAGGAGGGTTCAAGATTCTTTTAATCAATTACAGGCCCAACTCTTATTGGTATTCTTCCATACGCTGGCTTAAAATTTTACATATATGAAGATCTGAAATCTCAAGTTCCAGAAGATTACAAGAATTCTGTTATATTGAAGCTCTCTTGCGGAGCTTTAGCTGGTCTATTTGGACAAACCCTCACTTATCCACTGGATGTCGTCCGAAGACAAATGCAGGTACAATTCTTGTATTCCATGCATTGATAATCTGCTAAATCTCATCTGCGATGCCTACGATCACCACTCACAAGACTTTCTGTCTTCAGGTTCAGAGCAAGCAGACTCAAAATTCAAGTGATGGTTTCCGTATAAGAGGAACTTTCCAGGGTCTCTTGTTGATCATTCGGTGCCAAGGTTGGAGACAACTCTTCGCTGGTCTGAGCCTTAACTATGTCAAGGTAATAAGCCAGGATAAAATTAAAGAAAGACAAATTTTGAAAAATGAGAATCAGTATTGCAAAATATGCGGCATGGAAAAATAACTTGCTATATTGGGTTGCTCTTTGTTTTCCTTTGCTTAGTTACAATTATTACTCATGTTGTGTTGCTCCTTGTTTTCTTTTGCTTAGTTCCAATTATTAACATCTACAACTGGGATGTTCATTTTTTACAATAATGTCAATATCAAGTTTTATTTCTTGACACATGGACTTTTCAGGTTGTCCCTTCAGTAGCTATCGGTTTCACAACATATGACATGATGAAGACATTGCTAGGGGTTCCTCCACGAGAGAGAGTCCATGTGTCAGGTGGTAACAAATGAAGCAATGTTGGCCATCCTTGTGTTATGACTGATGAACTGAAGAAACTCTAGGCTGCGGCACTGTTGTTCTTGTTATGAATCCTATTGCCATCACCCTATGTTGCGAGAGTATTGTATATTGGTCAAATAGTTCTGTGTCTGTAACATTCGGTCGAGTTGCTTGTACATCCATTATGCTACCTGTAATTGGTAAACATGAATGCAATGACGGTACCAGAGATTGCCCTACATTAACTATACAAGATTAGTAGTGCCCTTATTGGAGATTCTGGTGTTTATGTCAGTATATCAAATGTGCCTGAAGATGTTTTATATATCAAATGTTAGCAAAGACGAAGATGAAGCCTTGATGGTTTCTATCAATAGAATCCCCAACGCTTCATTGGGGACTACTCATTGACCCCTTTTCTTAGTAAAAATCAACTCTTCTCATGCAACTTGATTACAAATAGAACCAACCTAAAAAAATGGAAAATTGATGCCTGAGTTGGGCTAAAATTTTGTTCAGCATTAGCAAAATTGGTTCTCACATGTTTATACACACACTCACTGTGTTATCTTAAGCAAAAATAAACCAATTGTTCACATAAATTAAATCAGTCCACAAGGGTGACAATAATTACATCAAGTAAAATGTAGCCATTGCCCCGTCATCACAGAAGATAGTAAAAACCAATAGAGATTTTTCTTAAGAGAACACAGCCGCAGACTGTACACCACCCAGGCACCCACAATCCCATGCACTCCTCATGTACTTTCCAAGTCCAAGATCACAAAACGAGAAATCACAAGCTGGACCTGCAATCAGTTAATCTTTCTTCTTGTTGCCCGGGGAGCAGAACCTCTCAAACAGCATGGCGAAGAACCCAGCGAAATCGAGCCGCTTCTTCGGGTCATCTTTCTCCACCTCCCCCCTGTTTGTTTCTTCAGGTTTGTCTCCTTCAGCTGAAGTTTCAGCAGCAGCAGCAGTCTCAACTGGAATTTCAGTTTCAGCTTCAGCTGCTGGGGCTGTCTGCTGCAAAGCTGCGGCGACAGCCTGAATCTCTTCTACGGTTTGCTCCAACACATTAGGTTCTTCGGTCTTGTCAGCAGAGGCACCCTCGTCTACGCTCTGCGCTGCCTCACCTTCTTCTGCCTTCTCTTCAGACTCAGGTTCTTTATCTTTGGATCCTGTTCAAGGTAAGGATGATGCAAATGTTTAACGATCAGGCTGTGGATGGGCAGGAGTCACCAATGAAATCCCCAGAAACAATGCATGTTTTACCATGTCTCCGCAGATGGAGAGCATCAGCAAGGCTCTTCACCTCGTTCTTGACCTTTTCCACCACTTCTGGGTGGCTCTTCACCTTGTCCATCACTGCACTGACCTTTTCCATCACTTCTGGGTGGCTCTTCACCTTGTCCATCACTGCACTGAAAGCATCCATGTCCTTGTTTCCCTGTTCTTCGCTTCCTTGCTCTACAATATCGACATGCATGATTCTTCTCAGAGAAAATAATTTGGTTTCAAGAGAGAAAGAAATAGAAGAAAAAAGGGGATCTAATTTAGATTGTTCATTCAGAGGCATACAGAAGTTTGGGTTCAATAGTTTCTTACAGGTCAGCAAATGGGGCGGGCACAGTTCAATTCAAGCATCACCACAAGAAATACTGATAGGATTGTACTAATAATGATGATAATTTATGGTGACCTAGATCCACTAGTTAATTACACTTTCTCCACCTTCGAATAAATCCCTTGTTACTGTATGCATCCAGCATACCCCGATTAGTGCAGAATTATCAGTAACTCAAACGAAAAACAGTGGGGCGAAATTACCCGCTGACTGATCAACTTAGACAGGAAAGGATTCTTCTAGACAATAGACAAGATGCCAAATCCCCATACAAAAACATGCAGACAAACGGTGAAAGAAACGAAGAAAGAGCAAAACCTGCGATCCTAGGTATTGGCTGAATCGAAACATAGAGTGAAGAAGAGACCCTTACAAGCTGAACCGGACTGCAGATTTGTTGAAGGGCAGTGAAGTAATAAGCAAATAAGTGGGGAAAGCTTAACTGACGAAAACTGAGAGGGGAAGTGCCTTTCAGTGTGAAGCTTTAGAACCGTGGGGTATATGGCTCTAACTGAGCCCCTTGATATGGGCTAATGACAAATGTCAAGCTAATGTTTTATGTATTATATACACAGATAAAGCTTAACTGGAGCACCATGGTAGGACACAGTGCAGGAAAGTGACAGCGAAATGGACGCAGGCAAACTGCAGGCATTCATAGTGGTTGGTCGAGGATGATCCTACATCGTGGATTGCAAGGCGTAGCAGCCTGTGTCATACAGAGTGTCACTTTCTCCAGCTGGGTCAATCAAACCCTACTTTATTTATTCTCAAACAGTGCTTTAATTTTATTCCCTATACTTGCCTGCATTGATCCTGGAAGCGATATATACTAGGAAATAACAGTTGGATTCTTTGTTGTCTAGCTTTAGTTTGTGAATTCTGGCTGGACAGATGGCGTTGGATTATGGGATTTGGTTTGTCTGGTACGCATGTATTAGGCTCAACTAATAACGATCTCGCACATGCAGGTCCACTAAGAGGACAAACGAACATGGTGCTTGAGCTGTAACTATCTTTCCAAAAAATTCAGATAATTGCTGTATTCATCTCACAATGATCTCTGATAGGATAGTTTCCTTGCTTCTTCTTTTTTTAAGATTATTAGGAATGGTTCATGCCAAAAAAAAATCTGAAAAATGGTATCTGGTACACCTTCAATCAGACAATCACACATGCCCAACATCCTAACAGAATCATTGCGTACAGAAAGCTGCTTTTACTTGGAAGTAAAGCAAGAAAGCCTATAGGCCAGGAGACATAATCCAAGGAGGGTAGTCCGCTTCAAAAATGAAGTATGAAAATTGAAATGTTCACTAAGCACAAGGCATTTTTTCTGTACCATTTTCCAACTTTTATTTACCCTGATAATTACATTGTTTAGCACATCATCTAGAATATGGCTTGGCATCATTAGAGAAAAGTTGGCTTATTTTCAACATCATGTGTGATTTTTCTTCAAAAGGACGTCAAAAACTTTGCCGCAAGTTTTATTACAAGGATAAATAAGAAAGCACAAGTCCTCGCCTAGTTTTTTGAGTGAAAATCAGATCCAAAGAAAACCACATGACTATGGTACAATCACCAAACAACTCTGGTACCAAGACCTACCCAAACAACATCAAGTGTGATATTTCTGTTGCAGAAGTGCAGATGGTTTGTTTCACTGTCATGATACAAATCGACCTACTCCAAGATCATGACTAAAATCAAATTGAACCTTCTCCATGCGCCATGTGTTACATCACTGCTTTCTCAATCACATAGCCCGTGGGTATTTCCTCTAAAAAAGAATCATATCCGAGAAGGATAGCTCACCTAATTAGAACAGGTTCCAATTGCTTAATAGTCCAGATGCATCCATGTTCAAATAACATTTAGAGTGGCATCCTAAGTATGTTACGATAAACATTGGTCCCTGTTTTCTATTATATATATAAAGGGCAGACTCAGTGCCGGAGGCTCCCACATGAATAGGGTCTGGGGAAGGGAAAAACCGAGGCAAGCCTTCCCCCCGTAAAATCTACGAAGAGGCTGCTTCGAACCCGCGACCTAGTGTCTCAGTGAGACAGCTCTCACCACTGCACCAGGCCTGCCCTTCTTTCTATTATATATATACAATGTATAATCGCAGTTTATTGCAGAAGTGTTACTTATGGTCTTATGGATGCCCATACTGAAGAAAACATTTTTTGGTAGCATGTAGGGATTGATTGACTTTATATATAACTTTATGATCTAATTTGGACCGTGAAAAAAATATATCAAATGCAAACGTTGAACTGCACTAACAAAAAATGCAGACAAAAGTTACTTTTCATGAAACAAAACATCACGAGGACCGTGTGATCAACTCAATGCAAGAAGATTGATGGAATGTTGCAATTTGCAGCCTCTTTTTTTTTCATTTCAAGCCACTCTAAATGAGTGCAGCTTACCTAGTTCCTTTGAACGGCTGGCGTCAGATTGACTTCCGAGTTCTTCTTTCGCTTTCTCAAGGAGGCCTGAGCCCTTGTGCAAGATCGTTTCAATGCCTGACTTCACATCCCCTTGAAGCTTCTCAGTCGCCATTTCGGCATCTATAGATTAATCCCAAAGGTCAGGGAGCAGGAAAAACATTAAAAGTACATCGTGGTTACATGTCTAATATTAGATATTAGGGCTTAAGACAACAAATGTGCAAGCAATATGCAAGGCACGATCTGGTATTACATTTAAATTCAGCTCTGAAACCTTCCGGCAAATAGATCGAATTACTTCTCTTTGTGCTTTCCAGAATGTAGTATATCTGCCACTTATCAGAACTAGCAGTTCTATACATTTTCTTGACTTTGACCAAAACGTGTGCCATGCAAACGTAAACCTTTGAGGTCCATATCAAGGCAATTTCAAAGCCATTTAGGTGGGCCATTGTAAGTGTATCTGCAACGATCAACCATCTATTTGCTGTTATTTGTTAGGATCGTAGGATTGGTATCTCTGTGTGTGTAACCCGTAGATCCGGGGAAGACCTCATCCTTGTCTTCTCCGTAGATGTACAACAGCGGGTAGACGCCGGTGCCGCGGTAGCTCCGGCTCGGTGGAGTCCGTGATAGTGGCGATCCAGTGGCACTGTGGAGACCCAGTCTAGTTGCGCCGCCGGCGGTGTCCCTGCATAGGCGACGGCGGTGGTGGTGGGGCACATCCCGTCGCTGACAGCACGCTTTAGGATCGGATTAGGGTTAGCTCTGTAGGTGGGTGGTGGCTCCGTTCAACCTCGTTATCCGAGCCCTCACCCCCACCTTCCTTTTATGTGTGCTGTGCGACAGGGGCCCATCAATCGGATTAGGGTTGAGCTCCCCCGATCAGGGAGCAGAGATAAGGGCCCAATAGGCCGTTGGGCCTATTGGTGGAGATCAACTAACATTCTCCCCCTTGATCTTATTCCATCTTTCACTTTCATATCATTTACTTTTGTTCATTCCATTACATATTAGCTCATAGAGCATGTCTCATCGTCACGGTCCATTGCCGATAGACTTAACAGCTATAACTCACTACTCTGTTCTGAAATAGATACTTATCTTTGGGCCTTCTTTTGTCCAGGAATATTTTAGGCTTTCCCTTAAACCCAAGCTAGCTACATGTTCTCTGAACACCATGTCCTCTGAACATGTTGGGTGGTAAGCCTTTTGTAAGCGGATCCACGAACATCCTTTCTGTTCTTATATGCTCAAGACTTATGACTTGATCCCGGACTTTATCTTTCACAACATAATACTCTATGTCAATGTGTTTGGCAGCACCACTTGACTTATGTTGTGAGCATCCTGTACTGCCAGATTATAATCGCAGTATTATTTTAGTGGTCTATAGATGTCGTCAACCACCTTCAAACCAGGTATGAACTTCGTTAGTTAGTTCACCTGCCCATTGCCTCATAACACGTTACAAACTGTCATACATTGTGGACGATGTAGTGACAGTTTGCTTTGAGTTTTTCCATGAAATAGCTCCCCTTTGCGAGATGATAGAAAATCCACGTCTGGATATGCATTCACTCTCGCATAATCAGAATCTGAATATCCCACCATGTGGAGTGAATCAGATCTTCTATATGTCATCATAAGGCCTTTCGTTTCCTTCCAAATAATGCAAGACTTTCTTTACTAATTTCAGTGTTCTATTCCAGAATTGCTCTGGAATCTGCCAAGTAAAACCCGGTAACAAATGCCAAGTTAGGGCGCGTACATACTTGAGCATGTTGCAAACTTCCAACAGCTGAAGCATATGGAACCACTTTTACTTTATCGATTGAGCTCATATTGGTTCCTGGGGCATTGAAAATCCCCATATCTGTCGCCCTTGACTATAGGAGCAGGTGAGGAACTACATTTGTGCATACTGAATTTCTTTAAGATCTTTTCTATGTATGCCTTTTGTGATAGTCCTTATACCCTTTTTCTTCTATCTCGGTGAGTCTCGATCCCTAGAACGAACGAGGCTTCGCCAAGATCTTTCATATCAAATTTCTTTGTCTCCAGTAGTAGACTGACATCACTACTAGCAAGTAAGATATCATCTACATACAGGACAAGGAAGATAAACTTCCCATTCTTAAACTTTGTATTGACACAATTATCCTCTACATTATCTTTACTTTGTATAGACACAATTGTCCTCTGCATTCTCTTTAAAACCCAAAATCCTTTATTGTCTGATCAAACTTCAAGTACCAGTGTCTTGAAGCTTGTTTTAATCCATGAATAGATTTCTTTTTAGACGGCATCCCGTTCGTTCTTTTCCTTCCATAACAAAACATTTCGGTTGTGCCATGTAAACATTTTTCTCCAAGTCTCTGTTGAGAAATGTCGTCTTTACATCCATATGATGTAATTCTTAATCGTAATGTGCCACTAATGCCATTATGATTCTGAAGGAAACTTTACATGAGACTGGAGAAAAGGTCTCATTGTAATCAATCCATTCTCTTTGCATAAAGCCTTTTGCCATAAGTCACACTTTATATGTCTTTATATTCTCTTGAGAGTCATGTTTAGTCTTGTAGACCCATTTACAGCCTACTGTTTTGACTCCTTTAGGAATTATTTCCAAATCCCAAACTTTATTGACATTCATCGATTTTATTTCATCTTCCATTTGAAATTCCTTAGTGTTATACACTTCATAATCAGTAGAAATAGCTGATTTTCTAACTCTTTGAGACCTACTAGGAGCCTTCACATTTGGCACATCTTCTATTTGAGGCTGTTGTTGCTCCCTCTCATGTGTGGCAATAGGTTCTATAGAATCCTGAAGAATAGGTTCCTCATCGTCATTCATTGTTGCCACAGGTGGGATAACAACAGGTGCTGTCACCACAGTATCTAGCACTGTCGGTGCAGCTACAGCAGGTAGTGAGAAAAATGGCTCATGAATCATTGGAGTGGGCGCATGCACCCGCTTCACTTCAAGGACAATTTCTCGAGCTACCATGCTCCCCCTCATCTTTTCATCCTTTAGGAAGACAGCGTGTCTCGTTTCCACAAACTTTGTATGTCTCCCTGGACAGTAGAAAACGGAAACCTTTTGACTTTTCTGGGTAGCCAAAGAAATGACACCTTACTATTTTGGGATCTAACTTCCCAATGTTTGAGTTAAATACTTTAGCCTCAGCAGGGCTCCCCCCCACACACAAGTGGTTTAGTGAGAGCACTCTTTCTATCCACAACTCATACGATGTTTTGGGCACCGACTTACTTTGTACTCTTTTGAGAGTATGAATGGGGTTTTAACGTCTCCATCCACAGGCTCAACTGTAAGGTGGAGTAACTTATCATACTGCCCATCATATCCATCAGGGTGCGATTGATTCTTTTAGCTACTCTATTCTGCTGAGGTTCGCCCGGTATAGAATACTGGGCTACTATGCCATTCTTTAGGGTATGCCGACCGTGGTACTCCCCCACGATCAGACCTGACTATCTCAATCTTTAATATCTTAAATTTATCCAATACATCTTTTCTTTTTTTGATTAGAAAAATATAGCCATAATGGGAGTAATCATCTGTGAATGTTATGAACGAAACATAACCATCCACACTCTTTATAGGAAAGTTTATCACAGATGTTTATGTGAATAATCTGTAAAATTCCTGCGCTTCTTTTGTCATCTTTCTTAATCTTCTTTACATACTTTTCTTTTATGCATTCTCTGCATTGTTCTAAATCTGAGAGCTCTAATAGAGGAAGAATATCATTCTTAACTAGTCTTTCTATTCTCCCCCTCGAAATATGGCCTGAACGATAGTGCCATAATTTCGACAACGCATCATGAGCTCTCTTATGCCACCTTTTCAAGATTAACACTATGTGACCAGCTGCTTTATCAGCTAAGTGGCATATGTCTTTGAAGAGCCAATGAACTGACTCTTTATTCTATCGAGGTATTCGGTGACCGTGTCACATTCTGGGATTGAGCCCACAATTGCAGGTTCAATCATATTCTTTATCACCGCCAAACATTTCTTGTTTGCAGTGACCCACTTCCTATGCTCAAAAGCCATAGGATATCTTTTGGGATTCAAAATCCCTTTCTTTAGTTGCCCAATTGGCATCATTCTCTTTTGTCTTCCTCACCGGTGCCACAATCTCAGTGGAACACGATGAGGTGACTAACCAGTCCACCTTAGACAAGATGAAAACCAGGTCAAAACTTTTCTTAACATAAAAATAACACCATTTGCATGCCTTGATTCTAACGTTGGTAAAAAACAAAACATACAATTATTCTTATACACTAATTCTACATCACCGTTGGGCAGAAATAGAATTAATGCATAAATCTTTAACTTTCACAACTGTTCTTACACACTAATTCTACATCACCGTTGGGCAGAAATAAAATTAATGCATAAATCATTAAAATTAACATATGTTCTTATACACTAATTCTACATCACCGTTGGGCAGAAGTAGAATTAATGCATAAATCATTAAAATTATCAACTTTTCTTATACACTAATTCTACATCACCGTTGGGCAGAAGTAGAATTAATGCATAAATCATTAAAATTATGATATTGTTATTAACAACATTGGTCAGAAAATAATAACATCATAATCATGCCAAATCTCTTTTTCTCCAATTAAATACCACATTGGTTCAAAATAACTGGAGAATCAACATTTTCTTTAGCAGCGGAAAAAATCTCTTTTTCTCCAATTAAATACCACATTGGTTCAAAATAACTGGAGAATCAACATTTTCTTTAGCAGCGGAAAAAATCTCTTTTTCTCCAATTAAATACCACATTGGTACAAATTAACTGGAGAATAAACAATTTCTTTAGCTGTGGAAAAACTTCTCATTTTCTTGAATTTTACCCACAGGGAAAATTGTATTTTCTATTTCCTTTAATCCATTAATCAATTTCTAGGAAATAAACATTTACTGGAAAAACTTTTCTTTTCACCAGTTTAAAATACCTTTTCATATTTTCTTTAAGCCTTTTATCCATTTTCCAGGAAATAAAACCTTTACTGGAAAATGAAAAAACGAAAAATATGACTCAAATGTTTCACTGTTCTTTCGGCCCAAAACGGCAAGGCGGCCCACGGCCCATGCCCGGGTGGGCGCTTCCCGTGCTCTCCCCTGCGCCCAGGCCGAAACCTGGGCCTGGGCCAGGAATTTGGCCTGGTGCGCGCACCCGCCTGGGCTGAAAGCTGGCCCGTGCTTCCATCGCCGTCAGATCTCATCCGACGGCCATCCGTTCATCTCGGCCGAATAAAAATCGACTCCGGCCGCGGTCCCCAAAACCCTAGAGTCATTCGGCTCTTTCCTTTCTCTCTCTTCTTCGCCGCTCTCTCTCTTCTCTCACTCAGCAGGCGAGGCGAAGCGTAACTGAGAGCGAAAGTAGCAATGAGCGGAAAGCATCAATGGCGCCGCCGCCGCCGGCCCCTCGCGGCGTGAAGCGCGCTCCCAATGGATGAGCGCGCCGTCGTCGAGTGCACTGGCCACGGTCCCCTTTGGCGAGCCCAATGAAAAAAAGTCCCCTTTCGGTCTTCTTCTCCCCTCGTGAAAACAGTTCGCCCCGGTGCCTGGCGAGGTCTCTTTCCATTCTTTTCCCTTTCTTTTTTTCCCTTTCGGATTTGATTTGTATCTTCTTTCTTTTCTTTTCGCTTGTTCACCCAAAAATGAGATCTAGGGTGGTTCACTGTTCTTCCTCGAGACTGATTCCTTCCCCTTCTTCCCCTTTTCCTTTCTCCGATTTGGAGTGATCTCTGTTTTTCGAACTGAAGGTGGGGATTAGGGTTAGGGTTAGGGTTAGGGTTAGGGTTCGTGTGCCGACCCCTGTTCTTTTCTTTCCTTGGATTTCCTTTCTTTTCTTTGATTTCTTCTCTTTTGGATTCAAGATCGAGATGGGGATACTTTCTAGGTACTGTTTCTCTTCCCCGTTGAAGGCTTTTACGGGTTTAGGGTTCGTGAACCCCTTCTGTTTTTAGATCCGAAAGGAAGTGTTCGGTTCTTTTCTCTTCTTCTTCCTCGAGCTTTCTGCGCGGGTTAGGGTTAGGGTTCTTGAGATCCTTTTCCCCTTTCTTTACTTCTTCTCTGATCCGAACACAGATCTGTTCTTTCTTGCCGTGTCAGTGCGGCACTTTTCCCGCGCGGTGGCGGTGGTGACCGGGGTTCCAGTGACCTCCGCCACCCCCGGTCCCTTTTCCGTTTCTTTTACCCGATTAGGGTTAGAGTCACACAGAGACAACCTCGCTCTGGTACCATTGTTAGGATCGTAGGATTGGTACCTCTGTGTGTGTAACCCGTAGATCCGGGGAAGACCTCATCCTTGTCTTCTCCGTAGATGTACAACAGCGGGTAGACGCCGGTGCCGCGGTAGCTCCGGCTCGGTGGAGTCCGTGATAGTGGCGATCCAGTGGCACTGTGGAGACCCAGTCCAGTGGCGCCGCCGGCGGTGTCCCTGCATAGGCGACGGCGGTGGTGGTGGGGCACATCCCGTCGCTGGCAGCACGCTTTAGGATCGGATTAGGGTTAGCTCTGTAGGTGGGTGACTGCTCCGTTCAACCTCGTTATTCGAGCCCTCACCCCCACCTTCCTTTTATGTGTGCTGTGCGACAGGGGCCCACCAACCGGATTAGGGTTGGGCTCCCCCGATCAGGGAGCAGAGATAAGGGCCCAATAGGCCGTTGGGCCTATTGGTGAAGATCAACTAACATTATTATCTAACAACGACAGCTTGAAATCCAAACCATTTGGACTTTGTGTTAATCACTAATCAGTGAGCATGTTACTAGTTACTTCGTATCATGACAAGTACATGAGAGAGGCTGAAATAACTCCCTATTTTACTTCTGAAGCTAGCAGATAGCATTTCTTCAATCTGCATACAAAACTTTAGGCTAAACATGAGGGCAAATAGCTAACCGTTCTTGGCTGACTGGAGGCCCTTCCCACGGCCATGTTTTCCCTTCTTCTGCGATCCTTCAGAGCCTTTGTCTTTCTTTGAGTTCTTCCTCTGAAAGAACATCTTGTCCGGTCCCTACTCTTACACTGCGATAATATAATCACATGTAATTAAGGAAGAAGCTTAAGCAGTCTACCACGGAAGATTCGAGGAGGGTAAATGCAAATTTCAGCTACTTTTGAAAACAATCTGCCATATCAGTATTTTCTGCCTCATCAGAGGCTGTTTATACTTGACTTACATGTTCTAATTCGTGGTGTTTGGCACAAAAAAAGGGCCATGGTGAACCATAAATGGCTTTCTAGAGGATGATCCTTGTTGTCCAACCCTCGGACATACATTAACCCGCTCATTGGCATAGAAATCCAATAGCAAATCCAAACAAAATGTGTTGGAGCTTGTTGGCAGCAAAGGGATAAGAGCATAATCACGCAAGGTAGCAGCAGGAGAGAAGATCTAACGCAGTGAATGAATAAGAACAACCTTATGTCGACTAAACTAGTTTCTAATTAACAAGAACAACCTACTTCAATGACGATCTGCTGACAAAATTAACACCCATTCAAGTACACAGCTACATAGCTACCTACCAAAAGGAAGGATAGATAGCAGAAGCATGCATGTAAAGCATCGGATGTGCTTGTATCTTACCTATCTTCCTTGAAATGAAGAGTAGAGTTGTTTCAATAGAGAGAATTGTAGAGGAGGAGGAGGAGAACAAGTGTATTCAGGGGTAGTGGGGGACATGTCATGCAACGTGGCCCTGCTTTTATGGAACCAATCTCTTAGTCGCTGCGACAATTTAAGCATGTCTTCTATAGTTGGCCTCCGCCCTCCGGTAACCCAATCCGCAACCATTAGCTTCCAATTTTTAATTTTTTATTCTGTTTTTCTTGTGTTCAATTTATTTTACTGCGCATTAAATTTCGTTATTGGCCGAACAACAGAAAAACAAACAAAACTATCGGTTTCTGTCCTTCCGATACGGCACTAGTAGTAGACATATATATCTTCTTGGGTTTGACTTAACCAGCGCAATGACGACACATATGCTTCTCCGAGAAGACGTTGTTGCAAGAAGAAAGGCGTTTCGTCGTAAACGATCGTGGATTATTTACTGCTGGCTGGTTTGGCTGGTTTGGTGTGAGAGAAAAATACTGTTTCACCTTATAATCCACGATCGTATAAGCCCAGCCGAACAGGCTCAAATTGCAGGCATGAATAATACTAAAATTGAGTAACTAATTTTAAACTGGATCTGAAGTGTTACACAAGGAGTAGGGAGCCTCCTTGGCCTTTCTTGTACACTTTCTATTGCTTATTGCAGCAGCACAGCGTAATGCAAACTCAACACACAATACCAAACATTGCCATCCATGTTTCCGAAAGTTTGTTATGCCTTATTTATTCAATCTCCCTACATCAACTAATGATGCTTGGAGACTTGCCACGATATTTAAACTCAGCTAGCCTTTTCATCTTTCAGATGAGAGAATATAGAGGTAACACATCAAGGAAACTTTTGTCCTCTTTCTAGAAACAAGTTAACTCAGTATCTGAATTTTGTAGCTAAGAAATTGAGCCTTGAGAGATTTGTAAAATGTGTTTGTTGAGAACAGTCTTTGACTCTTTGTTCACCAAAGTAGTTCGTTTGGGTGGTGGGATGCAACCCCTCTAGTTGTATGATTTTTGGGCTTCATTTCCGCTAAAAACTAGGTCATTTCTTGATTTTATTTTTCTTCTAATAAATTTTATAGGAAAGCTTTTACTAGCATTTCTAAGAGATTAGCCAAAAAGACTAGCCAAATTTACTGATTTAGCTACTCTTTAAAATAGATTTGACACAAAAATACTAGAGTACTCCAACAGACTCTGTAAAACCAAGAGTCTAGATGGCTAGTGAGGTATGCTATCCAAAAGTAGAGAGCAAATGAGGTGGGATGGAGAGCTACTAAATTTAAAGAGTCATTTACAGAGATTGTTGGCTACGTTTTTTCATTAATAATAGTCAAATTTACCTTTAGAAAACGACTTGACTAATCTCTTAGAGATGCTCTTAGAAAAAAGAATATGCAAGTTTTTTATCATCAAATATGAACCGTTTGTAAATAGAGAAGCTGGAAGCATATACTACTATACTATCTTTTCTTTTTGGCAGAATATGGTTAGAAGCAAATCCTCTCACATACACACAAGTGCATTTAATTAGCCATTTACCCTTATGAGCACGCGCATGCACAGCCTACCCTATGATCATCCGGCGGTGGGTCATAAGATTGATGAGAGTCACCACGGCTTCGTGCCACTAAATAATAGCACCATTTCTTTCAAAAAATAAATCATAAAAATATAAGTACTCGTGCCAAGTCTAGAACTTAAACCTAGGTGGACATATTACCTAACCAACTGAGTTCAATTTAGTTAGATTATACTATTATAAAATGAAGACTCTTTTTGGAGCCTCCATATTAATCCTCATTTCTTTCAAAACTAAATCATAACAATATGAGTACTCATGCCAAGTTTAAAACTTGAACATAGATGAACATATTACCTAACCAACTGAGTTCAATTTAGTTAGATTATACTGCTACTAAATGAAGACTCCTTTTTGGAGCCTCCATATTAATCCATAGAAAAAATACACCATATGGTAGTAGTTGAAGAATCTATTTCGAGCCTACACATTACTCCCTCTGTCCTATAATATAATATAGTGCACTCTAGAAATTTTTAGATAAATTAAGAGAGAATGTAAAAGACACCTGGGACGTTATCATCAACTTAATCAATGGTGATTGGTTGATAAATAGAAAGTATTTAATGCAAAACTGATTTTTGTCTTCTAGAATCCCTTATATTTGAAGGCGAATTTTGAATGCTAGAATGCACTATATTACATAACTGAGTGAATAATACTCATGGGATGTGTTAAAAAGGACCGATCATAAATGTCATCACAAAAACATAAACATCCACTCATAGGTTCGATATTTTACAAAAGAATTATATTACTACACTCAATTCTTTAATAGTGGATTTTTCACATCTTGAGTATTGTGTTGCATGTAAAAATGCATGTTTTTGCTGTTCTAGTATTTAGGAGTATAACGTACGACCTATAACCCATATTTTCAATAAAATACAAAAATAGAGTTTTGCATAAGTGGTACAATAATACACCTTGGAGTTTCAACTTAACATATACATAGAACAAAATTGGAGTAGCTATTAAATTCAAACTTGGAAAGCCATAATAGATTGCACAAATAAATGAATTGCATCTAGATTGCAACAACAGTTGGAATAACTCTAGCTAATATTTCAACTAAACATAGATTGGAGAATCAAGAAGATGCGATTCAAAAAGAACACCATGGCCCTATTTGGAGGAGCTTCTGGCAGCTTTTGCTTCTCCAGATAGCCCGAAAAGCTAGAAGATCCCCAAACATTGTAGCTTCTTCAAGCTGACAAAAGCTCCAAAAGCTACACTTTTTACTAAAAGTAAAGAAGCTCCCTCACCCTCAGACCAGCTTTGGATAGCTTCTCTAGTAGGTGCTTTTAGAAAAGCTCTAGCTCCCTCAAACAGGGCCTATAAATATGGATGGAAAATCATATATAGTAATTGGTAACTGAAGTTTATCAAAATTGAGATCAAAGAGCATATGTATGGGTATTGTATAAGATAATGAACAGACAGAGAGAGAGAGAGAGAGAGAGAGAGAGAGAGAGAGAGAGAGAGCAAAGGTATTGCCATTAGAGTAGTTGCAAGTCCTAATTTTATCCATATAACTTCTAATGTTTATGTCTCATAAGATTTTAGCCAATACAGAGATGTGAGCTAGTCATCTATTTAACATATCACGAAATATAAAAAATCAAAATCCCTCTCCTTTCATATATCCGCAGGAATAATATGTTTGGGGATTTAGGCCATGCATTTATGAAGGACAAATACGAACATTCGTATATTTTTCTTAAGTAAGGAGGACATTCTTTATACTTTTCTATCTCAACAATTCACTTTGTACTCTCAACCCTGTTTTTTTAAAAAAATATTTGCTTATTCTACTTCCTAGACTATCTAAATTAGATCAATTTAATCCAAAATTATTTTGCTTATATTTGTACAAGTTAGGTTTTATGTTCAACGTATATAAGATGCCATCATAACATATAGCAATTAATTTTAGATGATTTTCTTTACTTTTTTATGAATTTTCATATTTTGAGGGTTATATTATTATTTTGTAGATACTCCCAACTATGCAAACAATCATGAATAAAGTTCCTAATTATTTCACAACACCGGGAATAATGGTAGCTATAATTCCGCAGAAACTTGAACATTAAACATAAGTTGTATGACTAAAAACAAAAAGAAAAATTCATTAGGTTATAACTCAGTTGGACCAGTTAATTAAATACTAGTCTAAATTAAAGCAATTAAATAAGTCGAGTTTGATATGAGGGTTGCGTGGACATATTGAATAGTTTTGGGTAGTAGTAAAATTATTTCCCCCTTTTTTTTTGGAGCAGCCTTTTGTTCGATCAGTTAGCCCGTGCTGTAGCCAGCTTATGGCATCGCTTGACCACGGCTATTGATGATTTAGCTTCATGCATCTGCCTGCACAGCATGACAGTACAAAATCGGTTACTGCTGATTATATTAATACCCAACCGGAGGCGTCTTCACTGGCTCTTTCAGGCATTGAATTGAACCAGCATTTGTAGGTCATCGAGGGCATGTTTTGTATCAAGGATGGGATTGGCAGCGACGTCCATCCCTGGCCAGGTTGTAGTTCATTTCCCCCCGTCCATGTGGCCAAATCGGGGCGGCTGTTTGGGCTGCCGAAGTTTGGTCGGGTGCCAAGTTTGGCAGAGTGTATGAGCCTGATTGGTTGATGGCTAAATTTTGGGTTGGTCAAGCCAAGATTGCCGCCATTTAGTTTGGTATCAAAATTTGCCAACAACTTACAATTGGTAAATATTTTTGTTCAAGTTTCGATAATTTTTTCTACCAAATTTTTGACATGGTAAATTTAGTAACCAACCAAACAGACCCTATATGTTGAAACCAAACGTGTCCTAAATCTAAAGGCAAAAAACGAGCCTGCATGGAGAGAGAGAAAAGAAAAACACTGCCTATCACATAATTGCTAGTTGAAAAGACCCACTGATTTTTGTTTTTGTTTTAAACTTTTGTAGACCTCGTGTATCCTAATAATATATAGAGATCAGAAGCACTTTTAAAAAGTTGTATCAAACCATCTTGAAATTTAATAAAATCATTGCTTATTGCGGGAAAAAAATCATCCCTTACGGACTTTATCCATCCACCACATGATGAGAAGCTAGGTAATCCTGTGAGTAACCATTATTTGCATCATTATTCATGTGACGAACTAAACCATTGCAAGTTGAAGATGATGGTTGACGGGCATGGTAATCCTGTGAGTAACAGATGTTGCACGTGACGTGGTAGCTATTCACGATTATGGGCCGTGCAAGGAAGGGTAATCAACCTCCAATTAAATTAAACGGATAATCATCAGATAGGAGTGTACCGTATCCATGAAGCTTCTTGGATGCACGTTTGATCCATTCCATTCATCCAAGCAAAATGGTTTCCGGAATATGCCGCGCCTGCCAGCTGGCTCCACGCACGTTGACCGTTGACACCGTCCACGATCAAGTCAGCAGCACGCCAGCTGGCAGGCCCCGCACCAACATCTCGTGCCCCGCCGACGAATTTTGCACTGCCTGGAGGCTCTCTCAGCAAAACGCCACAAGCAAAGAAACCCGATCCACCCCAGGGTCTGTCGCTTGAAACGGGCCTTGTCAGCATCGTCGTTCGGCCCATTCGAGGCCCACAGCGTTCAGCATAGCTCGCCGCCCCCAAGTGCGGCGAACGGAGCACTGTGAGGAGGCTAGGGTTTAAGGTACTCGGCGATGGCGTCGGCGGCGAAGACACTGGCGCGGGCTGGATCATCCCTCTTCGGCCGCATCCTAGCGTCCCCGTCCCCTTCCATACTCCTTGCCGGGCTGCCGCTCACCAGGCTGCAGCCGCACGTCCCGCCGCCGGCACCGGCGGGGGTGGACGCTTACGAGGCGGAGACCGTCGCCAGGCTGAGCTCGCTCCCCGGCGAGATCTCCTTCCCCTGCGGCCTCCCGTCGCTCCGCTTCTTCATCGAAGACGGTACCGCTTCTCTCTCACACACACACACGCACTCATGAATGAATTGGGCCGCGATTGAGTTTTACAGTTGGGCTCGGATCGCTAGTCACTGCTTGGTTCAGAAATGGGGGGGGGGGCGCGGACTGGGAGCAATGTTGCCATAGCGTACATTGTATATAGAGATTGTTGCGTGTGACCTCTTGAAACTCGCATGATTTCTGATCTACTGCGCAATTTCTGTGATTTGCAGTTATACCATTACACTGTTAACCCTTGCTTTGTGCGGGATTGGGAAGAATTGCCATGATTTCGCACAGTATGCTTCATTCGTTCATTCCGGGGACATTGTTTTCTGAAATCTCATGGTTGTCTTCCTCAATGGTGATGTGCTACTATTACCTGTGTTATACTGTTATGTGTCAGCTCTTGTTTTATTAGCTAGTTGTAGCTCGAGGGGGTCTGCAGATGTTGCCTGACTTTCATGTCCTCTAGTAACTCAAGTGGTGCTGTATTGCTGCAATATTCTGAAGAAGCACAAAAGTGATGATTTGTGGGTGTGTCTGGCCCACTAATGAGTGTGTGCTTGTCAAATAAATGTTTAGTGCCTGTGCTCTCTTTATGATTCACAAGCGTTAGGGCTTCAAAATCTGTGTTGTTTGGTTTGTGTTGAAAGTTAACAGGTGGTTGATCAACCTTGAGAAAAGCCATGTATGTAGTGTGATTGATACTCTTATGAGTACGTTGCTTGCAATACATTATGTACTATTTAATGTTCCCTGTATGCCCTTTTCTACCTTGAATAGGTAGTAGAATCCAAAGCTTGATACGCTGCATTATTGTGTGTGATCATTTGAAAGCCTAAAACTGAGATTGTGTGGAGCTTGGGGAGGTCTCCCGCTTATAAACATGTGATTTCTATTAAGCCCTACATTTGGTAGAAAGTGCACTAGAAATACTCAACTACACATGTTTCTTTTTGCTATCCTAAGATTGTTTACTTGCATGGTGCCAAATGGTGACCGTGGCTTGTTCCATCTGCTGCTGATTGTCCTGAAATTGGGTAGAAAGTGTCTGACAAGTGACAAATACTCAAGTACATGCGGAGTTCATCTTGCTGTTCCTGGATTGTTTACTTGCATGGTCCCAAACAGTTACTGTTCCTTGCTACGTCTGATGCTGAAAATATCCATAGTTATTAGGTGAATGATACAGTCTTGGTTATGGCTTGTAGGCTTTTGATTATGACTTGGGAGCTAGGATCAAAATATTATTTTTGTGAGTTTGATGTCTTTGCTAATCCGCTGCTTGTGTTCTGCTATTTGTAGTTGAGGATCCTGTTGCTAATGACCCCCTTCAGTTGCTTCCGAAAAGAACTTACCAGCCCAGTACCATCAAGCGGAAAAGAACCCATGGATTTCTTACACGGTCTGTCTCTCTAGCTTCCCTTATCCTGTTATCCAGTTCAACTGGGTGCTACTATTTTGCTTCCCTCATCCCTCGTCCAAAAAGGAAGATGGGTTTCAAGTTGGAATTATCAAGTTTTGTATATGCGTTTCCATTCATGTTCACTTTTCGCACCTCATTTAGATTAGGAAATTAGTTTACCTGGCATGATCGTGGTTCAGTGCCCTGATGTCCTTGTCACTTTGGTTCTGTAGTAAATCGACCAAGGGTGGGCGCAAGGTGATTGCCCGGAGAATCGCCAAAGGCAGGCACAGAATTTCAGTTTAGCAACCCTGGATGTTTTCTGTACCACAGATTCGTATTGTGTTCGTTGTATGAACACCTAGTAGCTTTTATTATGCTTATTGCCGAAGGTGAGCCCCGCACAAGCAGCAGACTATGTATGGATTTTGATTGTGAAACAACTCTTCCGTGAAATAAACAAGTCAAAGAACTGGGAATTTTGCGCGGCGAATGAGTTCAGTTTGAGCAGCTGCGTGCTGCGGTTGCTGCATTTGTTTGTTTGTAATTGTTAGTACCACGTATAAGATGTGTGCGTGACACGCCTGATGAGCGTGTTGTGTTGTGCTGGTTCTTGTGTTAGCCACTTGGGCTTGTTTCAGTCCTTTGTTTGGTGGGTTCAGCGGTCCTAGCGTAGTAGGATATATCTGCTGCCATTTTCTTTTGCGACATTGTGTTGTATACTATCATGATAGCCTGATACGGGTTGGACGCGTTGCCTTTGCTTGCCCTGTTCGGTGTGGTGCGGTGGCGGCCACTGGCTTGGTCACGCTCCTACCAACCGCTACGTGGTTCAGCCCTCGTGCTACGTGGATATGCCCATGCTCTATCCTGCCACCACGGCTCTGAAGCTGAGAGCATGAGGTATACCATGCCTTAAACTATGTGCTGGAGAAAGGAAGCAAGGCGTTCACGACTCATCAGTCGTGTATGCCTTTGGATGGATGTGGCACTTGGCACCCAGCGCTGGAGCTGAGGCCGTGAGTTCGCACGTGTTGCGGTTAGGTCCCAACTCGGTGCTGGTTTCAGTCTGCAGCGTGGGCATCTTAGCTGGATTTTCGTGTGCACTGGTACTTCAACCAAAATATTGATGTTCTGGGAAAACGGCATGGTCCTCAAAAATTCAAACACACACCGCAAGTTTCATCTGGCACATGCCAAGGGAATTTTGGTTGAAGTTCGGTATCTAATATGTACTCCTCATGCTAAAAGTACTCACATTTTAGATAACGAAAAAGTGTGTGTGTGTTTTAATCAAAATACAGTAAGACATCTAAAAAATATGATACTCGTAACATAGAACTGAATTCTGCAGACACGATTTTTTTTGCATGTTTTTAATCTATATGTTTGAAGACATTTGACGATCCACATTTTTATATGCTTGACTAGAAGCATGCCCGAAACATCATTTTCCGTGGCTAGAGGTCCTCGAATAGTCATAGAAATTAATCACATTTTTGCATGGCAAAAGCCCTCCTGTGATTTACTAGTTTGGCCCTTTCCGTGGGGTGATTGCATACACACACAAAAACGCATGAATAAACGGTGTACAAAGAATTCGAGCACATATTTTAGGGCTTCTCCATGATAACGCAGCAAGAGCATCTCCAAGAGTCTTTCTGTAACTCATTCTCGAAGTCATTTTTTAAGAGTCATTTGAATAAAATCGTCTTCCGTATTTTTTCACTCTTCAACAGTTTTTATGTATCTTGTGAGCACTCTAGAGAGTCATCATCGTTCTATATATTTGACTAACGAGAAATCCGAAATAGATGATGACTATATTTAGATAACTAATTAAAAAATGGTAGAGGATATTTTCTTTTATCAAAATCTCTATTACTAAAAATTTAGAAGGATATAAGAGTATGTTGGAATTTGTATAGAGAGATAGCTAATAGCTTTTTAGAAGTTAGATGGTTGAATACTTTAAAATAGTCTTAATCTAGACGATAAGCCGAATTATTTGGATCAACTTTAATTGATGCTGATCCAAACATGGCTTGTAGCAATTTAGAGACGCGTTCAAAATGCAGTTGTTTTTTAAATGATCCTGTTTTTTAATGACCACATAAGAAAAAGTAAAGTTTCAAATGGTCCTGTTTTTTAAAATTTAGTGTTCGGCTGTTATTATAGATCGCCTTATAAGCCGACTTATATTTTTCTCTCCTATCGTATCAGCAGCACGTACGCCTTTAAGAGCAGCCGAACGCAGCCTAAAATGCCGAAACCCCGTACCCCCGAGCACCTCACCGCACCGCGCAGCCAGATGGCCTCCTCCTCGTGCCCGCTCTCCCCCGGGCCAAGCGGCTCCAAGCCCAGGACGACGCGGGCCAGCGGGGTCGGGTTCGGAGGCGTAATGGCGCGGACCGTGGCGGCAGTGAAGCTGGAGCCGAAGCCGGAGCCATGGGCGGCGGGCGCAGAGGAGGGGTCGGCAGTGGCCCCGCGGTCGATGGAGGGGCCGCCGCTCCCGGCGCCGTTCGTGGCGAAGACGTACGAGATGGTGGCGGACGCGGCCACGGACGCCGTAGTGTCGTGGGCGCCCGGCGGCGCGGGGAACAGCTTCGTGGTGTGGGACCCGCAGGAGCTCGCCGCCGGCATCCTCCCGCGCTTCTTCAAGCACGCCAACTTCGCGTCCTTCATCAGGCAGCTCAACATCTACGTACGTACGGTATCTCCCACACCCGCACGGCCGCACCCACGCGCACATGACCTTTCAACAGAGGACACCCGCTCGCTCGAACTGCTTGGTGTGTGATTTTGATACTACTACTAGTTGCTGGGGGCTTCGTGCTCAGATGAACGGCGTTGTTGCGGCTACCGCTTTAGTTATCTCGTATGCTTTGTGTCCCTTGCGTAGTTGCGTAAGCTGTTGCTAGCGATTCCTGGACGTCAATTGCTTCCCTGTTACCCGTTGTTGTCTGATCAATGTTGGTCATAGTTGTCTGTGTTGCGAAAGGCAGGGAGATGGGGAATCTGATTCAGATGAGTTCATGTTATTATGGGGCTATGAGCTGCCTCAATTTTGCTGCCAATGTGTACACATCATGGTATCCTGGCATTTTAGCATTCTATTTAGTTAGAATTGGTGGCGAGACTAACGTGGGAGGGTGTTCTAGTGTTCCTGGATTGTGAAGAATTTGAATTTACAACCATGGGTAACTTTGCAGAGATAACAACTGAACAGTGTACAACTGGCCCCAGTCCCAAGTCCCCAACTGCTTATTATGCCGATCCATGCGCCTGTAATTTGGATTGTTGGGTATAGCAGTTAACCAGTTACTTTGTTTCAGTGTTATCATGAAATCTAAAAATTGTTGGCAACATAAACAGCGGAAATTCAATGGTGATGTAGCTGTGTTTGTGCGCCCAGCCAAAATGTTCAATCATGCTACTCAATTGTGTTTATCCACAATCTTGAAAAAGGTTTTGAACTTTTGTGATGAATTAGATGTGCTTAGATTTCCTCTGCTCCATCCACTATGTTGTGTGTAACACTAATTCCAGTTTCTTCCTGTCATGGATTGACTGGGGTAGCAGGAAGAACCCTTTCGTCCGTAGACTACTTCTTAGGTTCTCCTTGCTTGTCTCTAATTGATATATAACGGTCATTTTTATACAGACAACTTATTTTACCCCTAAGTAATATCCTAACTAAATCGATCTACCTTTGTCGGTGTTTTTGGACCACTGACGAGTAAATTTGTATTTGCGCGTCTGGCTCGGATGGTGTGCTCGTAGGACACAGGGGTTTATACTGGTTCGGGCGGAACGTCCCTACATCCAGTTCGTTGCTGCTCGTGTTACCGGCACTTGGTTTGCAGTGTGGGTTACAAACAGGCGAGAGATGGAGAGGATCCCAAGTCTCTGGTGGAAGGAGTGAACGGGTGCTGAGAGCTCGCTTGCCGCTCAGCCGTGTGCTCGTGTCGTGCTCTTGTGTAAAAGATCCCTCCTTTTTCATGGGGCGCTCTGCTTTCTCTTTTATAGGCGAAGAGAAAGCGCGAGTTACAGAGGAGGAAAAGGAGAAGAACGAGAGAGAGAAGAAGGCTTTCAGGGTTGCCGGGTCCTTCTTCTCCTTCATGAGGGTCCCGCCGATCCTGTAGATGTCAACAGGAACGGCTCCATGTCGTGGCCCTGTTCATCACTGGCGCCATGCGCAGGCGTCATCTGCCGGTTATGGCGTTCCACTCCGTCCCGACGGACGTCGTGGTGAACAGACACGCCTGTCAGCGTTCGTACGAGAATTAGGCAGAACAGCACCGGCACGCCCGACACTGTTCTTGATGTGAATCCCCAGGTATGGCCCGTCATGGTCACCGGTTACATCGAGGCGCGTCAGCCTCTTCCCTGGCGTCAAAGTTTTGACCCAAGCCCATACGCTTGGACCTGTAGTGGTTGGCGGCGGTATGGGTCCCCGTCGGACAAGACGAAACCCGTGTCCTTGAGGTCGGGCGAGACGGAGCCCGCGACCTTGGGCGAGACGGAAACCGCGTCCTTGGGTCGGGCGAGACGGAACCCGTGGCCTCGAGGTCGTGCAAGACGGAGCCTGCGGCCTCGAGGTCGGGCGAGACGGAGCTCGCGGCCTTGGGCGAGACGGAACCCGCGTCCTTGGGTTCGGGCGAGACGGAGCCCGCACCCAAGGGGTCAGACGAGACGGAGCCCGCGGCCTCGAGATCGGGCAAGACGAAGCCCGCGGCCTTGGGGTCGGGCGAGACCTTTTAATACGTCTCGAGCCATCCGGGTAAGTCAGTGTAGGTGCTAACTTCCTTGCTTTGGGTAACCCTAATATTGATACCTGACAGTATCCCCCGAGCCTGCGGAGGAGTAGAATACTCCTTTGGAGGCTTTTTCGGACGAGAGGACTCTGAGGGCCTTGGTCTCCTTTTTTAGCCCGCAGCGTGTCCTGGTAGGACAACGATTCCCTTTTGTCGCGATCGGTCTTCTTAGGGCATGTAACCGTAGGATTCGGGAGATCGGAAAGATTTTTCTTGATTTCGCTGCCCTAGGATCCGATCGGTCCGCCGTCGTACTGCGACCGCGCATTCGGTGTCCTTGCGAGTCCAACTTCCCTTGAGCCCCCGCGCGTTGCAGGGGTCCGGTCGAGGGGTCAGCTCGTCTTTGTGATCGTCATCCCTCAAGCGTTTTTTCGATAAAACGGAGGGGCTGAGTCGTGCCACGTTTTTCCTCGATGGACGAAACATGGTGCTCGGTGAGCTGTTAACGGGCTAGTACGAGTGGGGCCCGGGCTTCTCGTTCGCGGGGTCCGACATGGGTCAGCTGGTGACCGACTCCAGATTCTCAATGGGCAATCCATATAGTTGTCGGGTTCGTTCGATCGGTCCCAATGGTTCGTTGCCTTTCTTCGAGGAAAAATCATAGACTGGAAACCGACCAAGACTCGAACGTGGGCCGGGATGCCCGCGGCGCTCGTGCGCACGGCTACTAGTCGCTAGTGGGCCCATCCCCTTCCACCCCTCACTCTAAGGGCACCCTGGAGCGGTTGTGAACCCGTCGGAGGGCCAGCCTTCAAACTCCTGGGCCTAAATGGGTCGTAGGAGCGTTTTTAGCTCAGTATCCCTCCTTACATGTGACGGTTCTCGTGCTTGTCTACACCGACGCCGAGCTGGACGACATCGAGAAGGAGGTGGCCCCTCTGGCACATGGCTTACCTGCCGAGATAGAGGATGAAATCATCCCTCCAAGAAATTAGTTTGGTAGATAAGCCAGACGGCGAATTTGTAATAAGTGAACAAGCTCTTAAATTTCGTTATGGCCAAACATATTTTTAGCTCTTCTTCCCTTTTGGTATAAAAAGGTTAATGCGTTCCGACCCTTTTCGTCGTTAAGGCAGTAAAGGTCGGGGTGCGGGTGAAAAAACCCTGATCACGCTGGTGAGCAAAAACGATATAGCCGCTGGGGCGTAGGTTTCTTTCAGTCCGACCAGTTTTACTCAGCGTTCGTTTCCGCAACCCTTGCTTCTAGATCTTAACGTGAGAAAGGGTCGAGCATAGAGAATGTCTACCGGATAGATATACTTTTTAATGCATTCCGACTCTTTCCATAGTTAAGACTAAAAAGCTCGGGGTGTGGGTAAAAAACTCTGATCACGCTGGTGAGCAAAAACACCGTAGCCGCTGGGGCGTAGGTTTCTTACGATCCGACCAGTTTTACTCAGCGTTTGTTTCCGCAGCCCTTGCTTCTAGATCTTAACGTGAGAAAGGGTCGGGCATAGAGAATGTCTACCGGATAGATATGCTCTTATCAGCCCTCGAGTGAGGCCTGACCCATTGCCGTTGTTGGAGTCGGGTGTCACTAAAGATCAAGGAGTCGATAGCGAAACCGATAAGAAATAGCGTGCGTAGATTAAGGGTAAAAGCGACGTAGCTGTTCGATGTTCCAGGCGTTGACGAAGACTTCGTCGTCGATGGTCTTGAGCTTATAGGTGCCTGGTCGGAGTACCTGCGCGACGACGTACGGTCCCTCCCATGGCGGAGAGAGCTTTGTGGCGGTTCTTGTTGCTCTGGACGAGGCGGAGCACCAGGTCCTCGACGTTGAAGGCCTGACTCCGCACTCGACGGCTGTGGTACCGGCGCAACGCTAGCTGGTCCATGGCATACTCAAGTTATGCCTCGGCTCCCTGTTCGTCATACACCCTGACCCTCGGCGCTCCATAATCGAGGTCGGTCGGGAGGATAGCCTCGGAACCATAGACCATGAAGAATGGCGTGTAGCCGGTGGCCCGGCTGGGGGTCATCCTCAAGCTCCACAGCATCGCGGGAAGCTCCGCGAGCCATCGTCTGTCAAACTTGTTCAACCGGTTGAAGATCCTAGGCTTGAGGTCTTGTAGGACCATGTTGTTCGCGTGCTCGACCTATCCGTTCGTGCGGGGGTGCGCCACGGCGGCCCAATCGATCGCGGATGTGGTATTTATCGCAGAATCAGAGGAACTTTTTTCTGGTGAAGTGTGTGTCGTCATCCGTGATAATGGAGTTCAGGACTCCAAAGCGATGGACGATGTCAAGGAAGAACAGCACGGCTTTCTCGGACTTGATTGCGGAGATCGGTCGAGCATCTATCCACTTTGCAAACTTGTCTACGGCGACAAGCATGTGCGTATAGCACCCGGGCGCCCTCTTGAGAGGTCCGACCAGATCGAGCCCCCAGACTGTGAACGGCCACGTGATGGGGATCGTTTGGAGTGCTTGGTCCGGTAGGTGGGTCTGCCGAGCGTAGTATTGACACCCTTCACAGATGCACATAATCTGTTCAGCGTCGGCTACTGCGGTCGACAAGTAGAAGTCTTGTCGGAACGCGTTTCTGACTAGGGTCCTAGGTGCGGCATGGTGCCCGCAGACCCCATCGTGGATATTACTCAGCAACTGCTTCCCTTGTTCGAAGGGGATGCAGCGCTGCAGGATCCCGGTGTGGCTTTGCCTGTAGAGCTCGCCCTCAATAACGACAAAGGACTTGGCGCGACGCGCGAGCCGCCAAGCCTCCGTTTTGTCCGTCGGCAGCGCCTCACGGAGGTGGTAGTCGAGGTATGGCGTCCTCCGTCGGCCATAGGGTCAGGCTCTGTCGCTGGATCCTCGTCAAGCTCCATGACTTCGGGGTCGGATGGAGCCGCCGGCTGGTTAGCCCTTGAGCCCAGGGCAGGCGGCCAAT